ATATAATCACATGTGATTATATGTATCTAATCATATATGATTTATATGGACAAAAAAGAATCTTGTCTATATAAATCATATGTGATTAGATACATATAATCATATATGATTATATACAAGAGAACAACCATTGAATCAAAAACACAAAAACAAATATTTGTTCACATTAATGATATGTTATTAAATACATATAATCAGATATGATTAAATACATGAGAAAAATATTGAATGGAAAACATGAAAACTAATCTTGTTTATATAAATCATATTGGATTAGATACATATAATCACATATGATTATATGTATTTAATCAGTTGTGATTTATGTGATTAAATACATATAACCACACGTGATTTATGCCATTATATGCATTTCATCACATATAATGTTGGTGGTTATAGGTAGTTAGTGGTGGTCGTACGGTGGAGATGTATGGTGGTGGTGGTAGTAGTAGTGGAGTTAGGGCAGGATCAAGATGGGTGGTGGTGACTATTGGTGGGTGATGGGAGTCGTGGGTGATAGTTGGTTTGCGGTGGTTGGTGGATGTTATAGGTGGTGGGTGGTGGTGACAGGTAGTGGTGGTTATGTTGAGTGGTGGGTTGTTGGGTGGTTATGGTGTTGATGGGTGGATGATAGCGGGTGGTGGTGAATGGTGGAGGTGGGTGGTGGTTTTAATGGTGATGGGTGGTTGGTGGTGGTTTTAGTGGTGATGGTGGTAGGTGGTGATGATGTTGGTGGGTGGTGGTGATGGTGGTGACGGGTGATAGTGGTGGTTGTGGTGGTGGCGGATGGTGGTGATGGGTGGTGGTGGTGGTTTTGGTGGATGATAGGTGGGGTGGTGGTGGCAGGTGGTGGTGGTGGTTTTATGATTTAATCACATAAATCATATGTGATTAATATGAATAAAGGATGTATAATCTTTAAAATCTTTTTTATAGTAATTAAATGTTTGTATTTTAAAATTTTAAAATATAGAATGAGGGTATTTTGGTTTTTTAATAAAAAAGAATGAAAATGAGTTACTTTTGGGAGAGAACAGGTCCGAATTTCATATATCTTGTGTACACTCTCGGTTTTGACCGATATCTTCCTAGAGTTATAGCTAACATGCCTGCATCGAAAAATTAAAAAAAAAAACTATCAAATTTACTTTGGAAAATTAACTATTATAATTTATAAGCAACACTTTTATGTAAAAAATGGGTCAATTTAACAAATAGTTTATAGATAAAATGTCAAATAGGTAAAACTGAAAAGTTTAGCCATAAAAGAAACTGGCTAAAAAAATTGGATGATTATTTTAGAATAACTTTTGTAATTAATATGGGTAGATGAAAAAGGTAGCAAAGGTACCCATTGATTATTATATAATGTTAAGAGAATTGTCAAGATTACTGAAAAGGTTAAAAATTAAGGATTAGAACCAAATCCGTATTTTTTGCATAACCGCAGGGACGATTAAAGTAGTTTAGTCAAATCTATATTACAGTAAAAATCAATGCAAAAGGTCGAATAACTCTAATGAAAGCATTGGATCAAATTATTATAGCCCCCATGCCAACAGAAACAAGGAGTTTCACAAATATACTTTTCAGATAGGAACCAAGGGGTGTAAATTAGGCTGTAGAAGCTATTCAAAGACGATAAAAAAAGAAAACAATAATTCTAATAAAATAGAGATAGCACTTACTTGGGAAGCAACCAATGGATCGACATGTTTCTCATAAAGTTGAGATGAAACAATGGCTTTTGAATATTTCATGATTCTATCTTCAAGGTAATTAAACTAAACTTCCAAAAACATGAAATTTAGTGATATAAGCATAACCATGGTGACCAAAAGTAATCAGATTTATGAGAATGCTACAATACCTTGTCTTCTATCCTCTTATACATGTATCTGCATCCAGGGGCAGGCCGGGAAGAATGAACTTCAAGGGAACAACATTTAATAGGTTGTACCCTTTTGATCACATCATCTTCAGAATCCTCTTCTCCGTTTTCCATTTTAATTTCATGAATTTTGGGTAGTGTGTTAAAATTTAAGTGTACTAAAAACTTGTCTTTTTCGTTGCCTAAAGGGTGTCACCAATTCTAGAGGCTTCCCCAATGAATGCATATGTGTTACATCAAATGAGTCCAGATGTACACTAGTTTGTCCTATTGGAGAGGTAGGAACAATCTTTTTAGCATCTTCATGGTCTTCATCTAACTCCATTTAATATAAGTTTATGATCATTGATTCACATCATAGAAAACGAGGCTCAATAATTCACAGTTATAAGCTGGCATGTATCAGATGCAAAGCTTACATGGTGACATCAGTATATGAATGTAGACCTTGCTCCTTTTAGATAATACCTTGTTTCTGTTCACTTTGTAGTTGTTCATGGAATGCATCCAGATGAGCATCTGATACTACTAGTTCCAGTTGTGTCAAACAAGTAAAAATCGACAACAATAAGGGCAAAGACGTCCGAAAAGAGCATAAAGATTCAACAAAAATTAACTACTTTGTAGCATGATTATCAATAAACTAGTGGAGAATTAGAGTTAAACTTGATGTGTTTACGTAAATTTAGTAAGTATAGAGAGATTACATTGACTTCAAGTGCATCAGACACCTTGAGAGCAGAGATAGCATAAACGTCTGCTAATTCACTCTCCGTTTGAGGTTCAGCACCGTTCTATGATCATAGCTTATGTTATGGCTTATTCCTCGCAAGTGCAACACCTTACCTTCAAGAACACCGACTTCCGCTTCACTATTCCTCTTCCTCTGGTTGTTGATTTTCTATCTCCACTGTCGTCGTTTCATTAATTGTACCCATCTACGCCTTTGAAATGAAGAATTTGAGGTTCAGATGGTCGGTGATTTGTTATCTCCTCCCCTAATCGATAATCCCTAACCCTAAATTCCTAAGCATGCGATTGCAGTGTAAACCAGATAGAGAAACCTCTTCGCCAGAGAAAATAGATAGATGGACATAGTTTCTGATGGTGGGAGGAGTAGAGGCGGAAGGAGGTGGTGAACGGCGGAGGGAGGTTGTGAACAACCAGATCTGGAGAAAGTAAAGAGACAGCATTTCGTGATTATGACGTCGTTCCAGTGATACCGATGAATGTCCGGTATATATATATATATATATATATATATATATATATATATATATATATGGGTTGGATCCATTATAGTTTATCTTATATCCAAAAAAAAATAAATAAAAATATATAAATTAATTATTTTTCAACCTCTTTCAATATTGATATGAAAAAAAAAACTGTAACATGAACATCACATGTACATTATTTGGAAAAACGCTTTTTTAGAACTTATTTTCTATCGAAAAATATAACTAAAAATATGTAAATTTATCAGTTTTTAACATCTACCCATATTTATATTCAATTTTTTTTTGTATATAACGTAAAATGTGCACCATATGCACATAAGTAGAAAAACGTTTTTTTTAATTTCTTTTTTCAAAAGATCATTTTCTATAGCAGTGTCCTAACTTATTAAGATGTTTTTCATCTGTACATTAATGTACATATATGCATATTTTCATTTTGTGTATATTTGCATATGGTGCACAATTTACGTAATTTTTTTTTTTCTGAATACCAATTTAGAAAGAGGTTAATAAATGATGAATTTACATATTTTTAGTAATTTTTTTCGATATATGATAAGCTCTAAAACCATGGTTGAAAAATCATGCACATTTAAGTTTGTGCACGCATGTACATTTTTAAGAAAAATTCAAGAAATGTTTTTTTTCTAAAAACATTTTAATTGACTTAGACGTTGATATAGAAGTTGAATCGTTAAAAACAATTCAAAACAATACATTTTTTTACAAAAAAGTTGCATATGGTGCACATTTTTCATAGAAATTATTATTATTATTATTATTATTTTATATCAATATAGAAAGAGGTTGAAAAATGATGAATTTACATATTTTTATATATATTTTTCGATATAAGATACACTCTGAAATATATTTTTTTATAAAAAATGTGCATATGGCGCATATTTTTCATAGAAAACAGTTTATTAATTTTTTTTTCGAATATCAATATGGAAAGATGTTGAAAAATGTTGAATTTACATATTTTTATTTATTTTTTCGATAAATATAGGCTCTAAAATGGAGATTGAAAAGTGATTTTATGGATCCTAAAACAAAGTTTGTGATCTAATTTAAACTTTATAATATATATATATATATATATATATATATATATATATATATATATATATATAAACCACCTACATACTATAATACACCATTAGCCTTACCTTTTAGGTCATCATTATCATATGATTATCATTTGCTAACTTTTATTATTACTTCATAATCAGTAAAACTTTATTACTTAATAATTAAATTTTTATTACTAATTTTATTAATATTAATAATTTTGAACTTAATTTTATTAAGATAAAGAAAAAAAATTATAATATTGTTTTTATAATATACTAATATAAAAAATATTATAAAAAACTAAAATTCTAAATAAATTTCCATCAATTTTTTTACCTTATTTTTTAGACTGAAACTCACAAACTTAATATATATATATTTTTATTTTTACAAATCTTATATATATATATA